ATGAAAACGTGAAAATCCGAGTTAGCGGCTCCCTCGCGACCCGACGATGGGGCTCGTAATCGTTTCCTTTATATATTATATATAATTTTTCAAGTATATAATATGATTGTGTGTCTTGTGTAGTTGCAGCTCTCACTTTTTTTTTGTTAATAATATAATTCCTCGTTACAAATATATATTTACAGGCGCCGAATATCGTATATATATAAGGGGGGACGGTGGCGACATCTCCGCTACACCGATGACAGTTGTAATGGCTACATTTTTCAATATAATTATAAATAGTATCGTAAACACACACACACACACACACACACACACACACACATACACACGCGTCATGTTTGATCGTACCTACAAGTAATTATTTCTACATACTACGTGTACGCATAGGAATGACTATATTTCTTACGCTGCTCTCTGCCCCTTTGGCAATTATAATTTTCTCGTAAATAATTGTTTTTGTTTCGTCTCTTAATATCTATTCTCTATGTATAAATATTCTATACACATTACCCGTGTCTACGATATACGTACGAGGTAAGAAAGTTCATTTGTGCGATCATCATTAGCGCGATGACTCGGTGCGTTAGTATTATAGCGCTTGTTTGTCCATGATACACAGACGCGCGCGGCGCGACGACACATGCACGGCACGCACTTGGCCGACTCGTCTCTCGGCGGAGAGAGACACCGAGCTTGCAGTTTTCCTAGCGCCACCCGAGCTCTCCATCTTTCTCTCTCTCTCGCTATTTCTTGCCATTTCGCCCCGTGTTCATTTCACTGACGTTTTTTTCTTCTGTTTTTTTTATGCACATATACGCGCGCACATCCCGAGCAATTTTTTCCTCTCTCTCTCTCTCTCTCTCGGCTCTCGGCTCTTGCCTCGCGCGCAGCACTACGCCTTCAGCCGCCTCCTTCTCTTTCTTTTTTCCTTTTTTTTGCCACTCTATAAGTACACAACGTGGAGCTGTGCATACTCCCTCGCTCACGTACACTTGCACGGTGCACAGCGATCCATATACTCACACACACACACACGCACACATAGGGAGGCGAGCTTTTATACGCAGCGAGCATATAACACGCAGTTTCGGTCTTTATACGCCTCATGATTGTGCTTTCAGCGTTATTGCAAATGCACTCGGCGTCATATATATATACACCTCTACGTGTGTGTATACGGCCTATGTAAATGTGAGAAACAATAAGCGCGTGCGCGCGACGAGTTATTAGAAATTCGGGCCGTCTTGAGAAGGATCGCTGCTACACGCGTGTGCGTAAAAAAAGCTCGAGGCAAGCATTATTTTTCCTCCGTGAGCGACGTATTCTCTCTCTCTCTCTCTCGCTCTCGAAATGATTAAAATCGTATAAAAGCCGAGCAGCTCGGGGATTCGATGAGCGAGTACACACACGCGTGCATGTATTTATGCGCGCGGCAGCAAGATGATAAAAAAGCTCGTCCAAGAAGCAGCGCTATATCGACGCTTTTTATTTTCGCGCGCGCGCTCACACCCTCGAGCGTGAATACATATACACGTATACATCTGCGTGTGTATGCATTCGCAGCGCAGAGCTTCGAGCTTTATATCGCCGTGAGTAAACGTCTGAGCTTTTAGAGACCGAAAGTTATCTTGTTATTATATATATATATATGGGTCAAAATAATACTTTTTTACAAAACCGTGCGCACGTATGTCACCGATCTTGACGCGCTTTTGGTATGTTATAGTACATGGTAAAAAGGTCCCAAAAAAAAATTTTTAGACCCCCTCCCCCCTCCTACCCCCCACTTCCGGTATAAACGTCCATTTTCGATCTATATTTTTTCTGAGGACATGAAGCAAGTAAAAAATCTGAAAAAATTCATAAAAATACTTTTCCACAATCCAAACAACCTTGAATTTTTTCAGATTTTTTGAGTGCTTCAGGCCTTCAGATAAAATCATTGAAAATTTCAAAAATCGAGATACGGCGGTATGAGCCGATGTAGTACTCGGAAATTTTTTCAGTTATTTTTCGCATTAAAAAACATAACCTCAATTTTTTTCAGATTTTTTCAGATTACCTAACGCACCTTTTGAAGCCAAAAACCGATTTTTTTGACGAAAATAATTTTTTTAGGACAGTACGGAGCCTCGAAAAATCTGAAAAAAATTTTTTCTTGTTTTTTTCATCAAAATACGTAATCTCAAATTTTTTCAGATTTTTTAATTGAAGGCGATAGCTTCTAGGGCCGAAAAATGCTATTTTTAACAAAAAATGGTTCCTAGAACCCGATGGTTCCGGTGAAAAAATTTGAAAATATTTTTTTTGAATTCCTTGTCAAATTTTAATAAATTTTGACCGTTTCAAAAGTTCGATTGAAGCTTCCTAGCTCATTTTAGAGCATCAAACGAGTTTTATCATTCCTTAATGTCTTCAGAAACGTCTTCAGATATTTTGCACTAATCTTTGTCCTGCTCTAAAATGAGCTAGGAAGCTTCAATCGAACTTTTGAAACGGTCAAAATTTATTAAAATTTGACAAGGAATTCAAAAAAAATATTTTCAAATTTTTTCACCGGAACCATCGGGTTCTAGGAACCATTTTTTGTTAAAAATAGCATTTTTCGGCCCTAGAAGCTATCGCCTTCAATTAAAAAATCTGAAAAAATTTGAGATTACGTATTTTGATGAAAAAAACAAGAAAAAATTTTTTTCAGATTTTTCGAGGCTCCGTACTGTCCTAAAAAAATTATTTTCGTCAAAAAAATCGGTTTTTGGCTTCAAAAGGTGCGTTAGGTAATCTGAAAAAATCTGAAAAAAATTGAGGTTATGTTTTTTAATGCGAAAAATAACTGAAAAAATTTCCGAGTACTACATCGGCTCATACCGCCGTATCTCGATTTTTGAAATTTTCAATGATTTTATCTGAAGGCCTGAAGCACTCAAAAAATCTGAAAAAATTCAAGGTTGTTTGGATTGTGGAAAAGTATTTTTATGAATTTTTTCAGATTTTTTACTTGCTTCATGTCCTCAGAAAAAATATAGATCGAAAATGGACGTTTATACCGGAAGTGGGGGGTAGGAGGGGGGAGGGGGTCTAAAAATTTTTTTTTGGGACCTTTTTACCATGTACTATAACATACCAAAAGCGCGTCAAGATCGGTGACATACGTGCGCACGGTTTTGTAAAAAAGTATTATTTTGACCCATATCTATATATAATATATATATGAAAAGTGGGCGACACGCCTGTAAGCAAGCTAGAAAAAGCTTCGCTCGTGTACAGCACAGCAGGTGCTTTTGTAAATGTCTCTCTCTCTCTCTCAGTGCTGCAAGTATGTCGCTCGGCGATGCTTTACAACACTTACTAGTTGCTTGTTTTTATTTCCTTGCACTCTTGACGCTACTTCGCTCGACGACGACGACGACAACGAAGAAGAAGACGACGACGACGACGACGACCGTCAAGAGAGATGGCCGAGTGAAGTGGGCGGCAAAAGAAAAAAGCTTCGCTCCCTCATCTCTCTCTCTCTCTCTATTTCACCTCGCGTGAAGAAATTCTTCTAGATTCTTCGTTTGCTCCCTCTTAAAAAATTTTGAGTGGCACACGAGCGCGAGGTGACGTCTTTTTTTTTTCAACTATATTTTTTTCACGACAGGTATAACGATTACATCGTCATTGCGTATCGGCTGTTCGCTCGTTCGAGGTAGAGAGAGACAATTAGCCCACGACTCGGGAGACGATGCAACCGACTGCTGCTAATCGATTCGACATCGTCGTCGGGACTTTTTTTGTTGCTTTTGTTCGATTTGTTGTTGTTGTTGTTGTTTTTTTGTCAACGTCGACAAAAAGAGAAGAGGAGACAAGCCGAGTTTCGACAAAAACAGACGCGCATAGAAATCGATGGAGAAATTAAAGCAAGTGCGAGAGAGAGGATGTAGATAAACGTTCTCTCGGGCCATGCGCGCGCGGAGACGTCTATACGAATTCAAAAGCTTTCGGGAGGATTCGGGACTTTTACAACGTGCATATATGTATATAGAGCGACGACTGCAGAGCAGTCTCTCTCTCTCTATCTCTGGGCTGGCACGAGAGCCAAATTGGTCGCTCCGCGCTCTCCGCGCGTCCATTTACAAAACGATCGATCTTCTCCCGTCTCTTGCTTTTTTTTTTTTTTTTTTTTTTTTTTATTTATATGCGCAGCGCAGAAATGCTTCATCCATACACGTGTGCGATCGTGAGCGAGAGACGACGGAGAGAGACTGTAAAAAAGAATGTTTCGTCCAATATCCTTGGGTCGCTGATGGAGAATCGATGTATAAAAGCGAGAGAGACAGAGTTGGAGAGAGTCGGAGGGGCTCTTCCGCGAGCAACGGCGCAGGCAGTGCGTGTTAGCAACTTTTTTATTTATGTATATGCAATATACTTGTGCGCGAAAAAGACGAGTCGCCTCTGAAATATATTATACATAAATTATATCCTCGCGCGCGTCCGTCCGATCGATCTATATACGTAGTGCCTCGCGCAATCGCCTCGTAAAAGCTCTCTCTCTCTCTCTCTTTCCGCACTAAAAATCCGATTCCTCCATTCAGCGCGAACGAAAGCGAATCGCGCGAAATTATTATTAAGATTGCGTTTTTGTGCCCCCCCTGTGTACTTACGTTTTGTATAAGGAATTTCTTTTTTCCAGCGTTCTTCTCGCGCCACTGAAATCGAAGCGCACGGATTTAAATTTCGAAAGCTCGGGGAAAATACTTCACAGAGAGAGAGAGAGCTCGTCGCTCGGCGTTCGCGCGAAGTGCAGCAGAAAGCCCGAGTGATAAGCTCGCGATAAATCATTCAAGTCGAGTTGCTCGGATATATATATGTATATATTGCCAGGGAAACGGGAGCGAAGAGAAGAGCGGAGCAGAGAGAGAGCAGGGGCAGTTTCTTTCGCAGTTCCCAAGGATGGTCGAAAACCAAAAAGTTGGTTGGATCTACTTTGGATTTGTCACGCGCACGCACACACACGCACACACACATACACGTACATATACGTCCTATATATAATGCACTGCACCTTCTTAGGCTGCCACGCTCGAGCCAATAATAATCGAGTACGAGTCCCGCACCACCAGCACTACTGATCATCAGTATCCGCGATTCACGCCGGTCCTGTTGCGGCTGTGCCACTTGCACTTGAGTATGCGCACGTAGGTGCGCCTGAACGTGGCGTTGCACAGAGCGTAGCAGACCGGATTCACGGTGCTGTTGATGTAGCAGAGATAGTAGAAAAATTCCCAGAGCTCCTGGGGTATGCAGCCCGTGCAGGCCGTAAGCGGCTTGAGCAGTACGAGTATGTTGTACGGCGTCCAGGTGAGTATGAAGGCCGCGAGGATGGCCGACAGTGTCTTGGCCGCCTTCTTGTCGGCCTTCTTCTCCTGCGACTTTTTCTTCTTCTTGACGGGCGCGACTACGGCGGCTTTGCCACCACCTCCGGGTCCTCCTGCTTGCTTGCCCTGAGCAGCACCCGTCTTGCCAATGTTTTTGGCGTTGAGAGGTATCCGCGAGTCCTGGGTCATCTGCGAGGGCCGACGCGCGAGGGTCTGCTTGCTCGCTATGCTGCAAGTGTCCTCCTCGAGGCTGCCCTGGTGATGCTGCTGCTGCTGGTGATGATGCTGTTGCAAATGCTGGTGGGTCGGGTAGTGGGGCTCGGCGTGCTGGACGATGACGTCCTGATTGGTGGCCCCGGGTACGCTGCTCAGCTCCATGCCCGGCCTGATCGACTGGATGGACAGGACGTCGTCGGCGTACATCTTGATGCTGGGCGCCTCGACGGCGCCGGTGAAGCGGCCGCCCCTGCCGCTCGGCGGCCCCGGCAGCTTGATCAGGATCGTGTAGACTTGCTGCGAACACACAATAAGCGCACGTTTATTTTTTTTTTCGGGTGCAAATTGATCGATCGACATGACCAATTGACGCGTCGATAAATAATTCGCGCGCGTTCGAGTATCGATGAAAATTATGCAGCTATAAATAATTCGATACACAACACACACATGGCTCGTGTTAATATGCAAGGGTCGCGCGCGAATTATTTAAATTTAAATGTTTCAAACGTTTCGCGTGTATATACGCGCGCGCCGATATGACCTACATTCGCGCGAGTCCTGTTAGTAGATATAATATGTGCATAATACATAGATGGGTGGCAGGTATATAGGATGCAAATAGTGCATAACCGAGCGAAAGAATTTAACTGTCTTGTGGAGCAATGGTATACAGTAGTTGTCTCTTTAAACTATCGCCTTTAGTATATACGCTCGAGAGGGGGTGGATGGCTGGATTTTTTGTTTATTCAGAGTACGGTATATATATATATACACGACGCGCCTCGAGTCGTCCCCATGATTGTGTTTGTATTTTTGTCCTTTACTTTTTGTCGCGCATACGTCGTCTAACACACAGCACGACACAGCAGCTCTCGACTATCGTCGAATAGGAGCACATGCACCTGTATAATATATAAAAGAAGCTCGCCGCGGGATGTGCATCGAGTAAACGCGCGCGCGACATACATATAGTACATATATACAGCTGAAGATTGTTTCGCGGCTATATGTACGCGCCACCGCACCTATTCGTTTTCCTCTCTCGGTGCGTCGAGGTATGCCACGTACTCGGGCGCATACCGACTATTCCATATTATACATATGTACGACGTCGAGCTGTACTACTTATAGTTCGACACGGCTCGTCTACGTATGTGCCGCGGCGTGTGTACTACGAGAGGCCGACATTGATGAGCTCTCGGCTACATATACGTACTACTAAACTGTATGTACGTGTGGTACGTGCGGGATGTATTCCTGCGCCTGTTTATGTGCACACGCTTGCCTATATGCCGATACGCAGCAGCGAGTTTGAGCAATCGCTTTTCTTTTCTTCTATACCTTTTTTATTTTCGCTTCTATTCCGCTTTGCACGCGACGCGACGATAAAATTTAAAAATTCCGAAAATTTCGAATCCTGCTTTGAACATTTTATGGGCTTGTATATAATATCTGAGCTCGATCCTGCGCGAGCTAAGAGCGAGCGACGATCGTAAATTGAAAACCGTCGAAAAGAATGCCGAGACTAGCACGCGCGACATAATGAATACACCCTTCTGGCGTTTTTTTTAAGTATTCAGTTTAAAAGCTCGAGAAGCGCGAACATTTCCGTGAAATTAATTTTTTCTTAAATCCGAATAAACGCGGATCGGTAAGCTGGCCAACGTCGCGGCGCTTGTTTACGACAAAACTTCATTGCTCTAAACCCGCGGAGAATCGAAAAGTCGCGCACGAAACATAGTCGAGGAAAAAAAAAGGTTTTATCTCGAGCAGGCTGAATGTGGGAGCTAGTTCTTTGCGTATTCTCGCGAGTGCGTAAAACAATTGGCGACTGCTGCTGCTGCTGCTGGACGAGCTCGAGCGAACTTTTTTTAAACGAAAGGCAGCTGCGACGTTTTCCTTTAATTTCTATTCAACGCGCCAAAGTCCCGCGCCGTCCTGGCAAATAAGTTTATCCACTCTGTATTATTTTTGAGAGCGCCCAAGTAAACCTACTTGAGAAAATACGATTAGCTAGCTCTGCTCGAGAGTATAAGCAGCGACAAAGTTAAAACGCGCGGCAGCTGCTTGGGCGCTCGGTCAAAGCAAAACTTTGCGATCGATATTTACATACGCGCGTATAGGTATATATCGTGCGCCGACTTTTTGGGAAAAAGTTTCCGGGCCGTGTATTATTTCCTCAAAGAGATCCAGTGTATAGGACGATTAGCGCGAAGGGGGTAAAACGATAAACTTTTGCGCTGCGAGATGGGGGCTTAATTATATCGGATCAAGGGGGCATAAGCCTTATCGACGATCTTTACGAAGAGTAACACATTTGAAATTTGTAACGAAGTCTAACACGTTTGGAAAAAAAGCTAATATAACGAAAAATAGCACGTTTTAATTACGCCCAACAAAAACTAGCACATTTCAATTGTTCCCAACGAAAACTAGCACATTTCATGATTCGTATCAAAGACTAGCACGTTTCAAATATTGCAACAAAAAGTAGCATGTTTCATGTATGATTCGTCATGTATACGATCCTTTTATCTGCGTCCTCCCAATTAAAATTTTTATTAATTTCTTTAAGTCTTCAGGAATTGACATGTCTAATATCGTTTTGTGCAATCGCGCACAACACGCACAATTAATAACAATTAAAGATTGTATTTGTTCTTTTTTTTGTCACAAAAATGGACATGTGATACTTCTAGTTGTTACTCTGTATACAATCTATAGAAATATTAAATACGCGCAAAAAATATATGTAAAAAAGGGTAAACGTGAACTAAATAAACGTACTTATTTTTTATAGTAACTGCTGAAACGTGCTAGCTTTAATTATGAAAAATTGAAACGTGCTAGTTTCAGATAGAAAAAATTGAAACGTGCTAGTTTTTATTATAAAACTATTATTGTGTACTAGTCTTCGTTACACATTTAAAATGTGTTACTCTTCGTAAAGAACGTCGTTATATGCCACGGCGAACTTACGGGATCGTTGCTGACGCTCCTCTGGGTGCTGATGGTGGCGGCGCTGAGGGTGCCGGGCGTCCTCGAGCCGGGCGGCGGCCTCATGTACTCGCCGCTGCCGGCGCCACCACCCCCACCCTGAGACACGGCGTCCCTGATGTCGAGATTGAGACTGGTCGACTGGGTGACGCCGAACGAGTCCCAGCGCGACGTCACCGATGGCACGGGCGTCTCCAGCGAGACGGGCGTGAGGGTGGCCTCCTCGTAGCCCGGGGCGGTGCGCGACGACTCGGCGCCGCAGGCCTCGTCGTCGTCGTCGTCCTCGTCGTCCTCGTCGCGGCCGCTGCGCCACCAGTCGATGCACCACAGCTTCAGCCAGGTCCACGACAGCGGCCGATGCTTCTGCAGAAAAGAGGAAGAACGTTAGGGAATGCTCTGGGATGGAATTTTTTCGATATATATACGATAAAAAAGAAGGAAAAGCGTAAATTCCACGTGATAAATAGCGGATAAAATACGTCGAGTTGATTAATTCGTTTTCCGCGGCTCTTACCTATAGGATACGTCTTAAATAATAACAACACCGCGCGCGCGGATGTATAGCCTCGAGTCTCGGGAAAAGCAGCTTTCCTAGCGGAACAAATGTTGTATCGGGGGCCTGCTCGAGAGAGAGAAGAGAGCAATAACGGTAAGTACCGAGTACGGAACTGACGAGGATAAGGTCTACGAGGAAAAAAAAAGAGCGAAAAGGAAATAAAAAAAAAAAAGAAGAAAGTGAGCTAGAAGATTCGAATGGAGGCGAGAGAGAGAGAGAGAGAGAGAGAGAGAAAAAGAAACTCGCGAGTAATTCCAAGCGATTGACGGCATTAAAAGGGCATCGTGAGTGTGTACCCACACACACACACACACACACAGATAGGCTGCGGAACTCGCGGTAAACGAGGCAGTTACTCGAGCAAGGCCGCCGCTGCAGGTAAAGTTATAGGTATATACGAGTCCGAAGTAATAAGTAGGAAAAAGAGAGAACATAATAATACCGCTGGATATGTGTATATAAAAAAGACTCACCCTGTGCTGGGGATAATGCCGGTCGAGGTAGGAAACCGCAATATGCGTGGAATTCAGCTCGTCGCCGGCGCCGGTGCTCGACTCGCTTCTCGGCCTTCTGCACTCCTCCATGTCCAGTGCTTCGTCGCTGCAGTGTCGTTGCGTCGTGCCGCAGGTGCAGAAAAAAAGTGAGAACATCAAGCGCGAAATTCATATATTAATTTTACGGGTATCCATATTGCAATGTTTTTCGCATGCTCTTTCTTTCGTTCAATTTTTGAGTTTGAATTTTCAAAAAAATAGTTTTTCATTGCGTTGTTATCTTTTCTCCTGAGCTTTTTCTAAAAAATCAACTTTTTTTTTTATTTCTATTCGTTTGGTCTGTCAGTTTCACTTTTTTCGATTGTATTTTGCGGAAAATTCGGATTTTTCGTCCAAACTCATCCCATCGTCGTCGTCGCGAGTGTTGCATATATCGATCGTTTCGCGCGCCAAGCTTTGCAAAGACAAAGCCACGAAAGCCCCACTCGCGCGAAATCCGACAATCGAATCATTAAAATAAAAAAAAATGGTAACGAAACAAAAATTTTCGGCAAAAATATCGATGAAACATACACATATAGAAGTGTATGTTGAAAATGACCAAAAGTTGTATAGGCAGCTCAAACGCGGATTCGTGGAGAAATTCCAGCAACGAATTGCGGCTAGGTACGTACTACAACGTCGGTAACACGCAGACTATAACACTTTACAAAGTAAAAAACGGACGGTCGGGGGGAGCTACATCGACGCGCGAAATATTTCGAGTCCGATATGCTGCACACGAGGAAGGGCCAAGCTGCGCTGCGACGCGCGCAGTACAAAAGTTTACATCGAACTATGCATACAAAGCAGTAACAGCAGCTCGTCGACGTAGAGCAGCTTACAATAATATTCGCAGCCGCATTCGGAGCAATCGGTAAAACTTCATTAATAGCTATACGTGTTGGGTTGTACGAGTCTCGAGACGCGCTATTTTCGAGAAAACGATCGAATATTCACAGCGAGGAGGATTTCCCTTGTAGAAAGGCTCAACTTTATTTTGCACGAGTTTCTATGTATACGTAAGCGCCTTTATGCACATTAGTCGGGGCGTATGCGACGACGACGACGACAGGAAGGACCGTAGGTACTTATAATATACACACACAGCTGACACACGCAAGTAGCTGCAATAGTTGCTACACGCGGTAGTAGGTGACTTTTATTCGACGCGTCTTCTCGCGTTTTGCGTTGCGTCGACTTATTATACGTTCCATATAAGCGCGAAGAAGTTTAATAGGGCCCTTAGAGTCGCGACGACGACGACGACGACGACGTTAATCCCATCAGCGCGAAAGCTCCGCGCGCGACTAGTGCGATGTTTAATATACTATACGTCTGCTGACAGCCGCTGCCATAATAAGCAGGATACGATGCTGCTGCACTGTGTTTTAGCCTTTAATAATGCCGCCTACTCTCGGCTATTGTCAAAAATGACTGCTGCGTCGCGCGGATAGCGCGACACGTTCGTATTGTGCCGTAGACTTCTGTTTATATCACAAACTCGCTTATGTATATATGAACTGCGTCAAGCGCGATATTCGTTTACAACTTTGACCTTTCTAATCTGTACTTATTATATACTAAGCTGATCCTCTTTCAAAAGACTCGTATAAGGTGTACATCCCTATTTTCGGTCAATAATTAATATCAACAACTTAACGTCAGAAATATATCATTCAAAATTCTATAAAAAAAAAAAACTTCAAACTTGACCGAAAATAGGGGCGCACACCTCATAAAATTATGTTATATACCTGGAGTTGCTTCGTTTGCTCGCGTCCTGCTTGCCCGCCTGGAGATTGGGCAGGTCCTTCTGGCGCTTCTCCGTCTCCTGCCAGATGCGCCAGTAGAGGAAGGCCATGACGCTGACGGGCACGTAGAAGGCGGCTATGGCCGTGCCGAAGGTGATGTAGTGATTCGTCTCGATGAACTGTATGTAGCAGGCGTTCTCGGGCACTGTGCGCTCGCCCTCGATGTACGGCCAGGCGTAGATCCAGGGCGGCCACAGCAGCAGCGATATGCCCCAGGCGCATCCTGTATACATCGGAAAAACACATTGATTGTAGCTTTAATTGTTAAATGTAATGAATCGATTAAAAAGCTTTTCACTCGGTTTACACGATAGAAATGTATTTATTTACTCGTGTACGCTATTTCCAATTTCAACCTTTCAATCTGTTTACTTCGTTTGATGTATTTATTTCTACAAAATGTATATCCAACATTATACACGATGATTTTTCGAATCAATAAATATCATTCGATTTATGGAGTGACTTTTTGGCGTCGTCTCGCGGTTTTCATTCACTCGAAGCTCGGACATTAATTCGAATCGATTTTTCGTCAATTGCCTCGCTCAAAAAATGAAAATAAATAACAGCCGTAGCTCGTCGAGATAGAAAAAAACTCCGTATCCGATCGGACGAAGACGCGATGAAAATGGTTTCTTGCATATATGCATGAAACTCTCGAGTGGAGCAGCGGGCCACTAATTGCGCGAAAGAGAAAAAAGTCGCGTTTCGTATATCGGTTAACGAGGCCAATTTGGTTATACGCACCTATCATAAAGGCAGCCTTGGCAGTGGTTCTCTTGGCCCTGTAGGTGAGCGGCCTCGTGACGGAGAAGTAACGATCGAAGCTGATGATGAGCAGATTGAGGACCGAGGCGTTGCTGGCGAGATAGTCGAGGGCCAGCCAGGTGTCGCAGATGTGCGAGCCCAGCGGCCAATAACCCAGCACCGTGTAGACCGTGAACAGGGGCATGGATATGAGGCCGATGGCGAAATCCGCCACGGCGAGACTGAACAGAAAGTAATTGGATATGGTCTGGAGCTGCTTGTCGATCTTGAAGCTGACCATCACCATGATGTTGCCGATGACGGTGACGAGGCTGAGGCAGCTCGCCACCGCCGTGATCAGGATGACCTTCCAGAGGGGATACTGATAGCCGAGGGGCACCTCGACGCTCTGATTGTAGCTGGCCGAGGACGACTCGAGGCTGTAGTTGTACGGGTCCGTCGACGTCGACATGGCCAATCGCTCCAAATCGTAACTCATGACTCTCTCTCTCTCTCTCGGCTTCCTTCGTGTGTACTCTATTGTCGCGCACCAAGTGTACAGGCTTAATAATTTAAGCTTTCCGGACTCGGCTGCGACGCTTTCGCGCGCCTCGGAGGACCGACGGCTGCCTCGTCGACTTCATTTCGGGGCCCCTGCTCCGCTGCTTTCCTATTTCTTCCTCTTCTTCTTCTTCTGCTTCTTCTTCTCCTTTGTCGACGACCTTGCCTGTAATCATTTTATAAACGTTCTTTCTTTAATAAGTAGTCCCTTTTTGCTTCGTAGAAAAATGATTTATTGCATGTACACATCTTTCCGAAAGAAAAAATTGATGATCATCTTTTATTGGGAATGCGTAAATTTCGATCACGACGTAGGCATACGATTCGTCAAGTTTCTATCTAACAGCGGTTACGACGACGACGACGACCCATTACCCGGGCAAGCTTTTCGAAATATACAACAGATGCGACGTGAACTACATCGACGAGTTTGGATTCGCGCATTTTCACGTGGCCGGTGCAAGTTTGGCAGTTTGAAATCAGCGTCGACGAATTACTCCTGTTCGGGCAAGATCCCAATTGCCCCACGCACGATGTGCGAGAGAGACGGATTTTACGATTACGACGTAGTGAAGTGATACAAGTCGATGCTCGGGATAATTTGGGCCGGACACCACTGCAATTGTCTTTGGTTAACCTTTTGCCGAATTCCGTCGATCTACTCTTGAATTGTGGTGCTGATATGTCCAACTTCGTTTTCCCCGACGAGAGCTACTTTGAAGTGAAGTGAAAGTGTTTTTGGCCAATCTCAGATTGTTCGAGACTTTAGCGATTCCTAACGAATATTGGTACGACGATACTAGGTTCACGAGAGAGGCGAAAAAAATAACGGTGAATCCGGGTGTGTCGCTTTACGACCCGACCTGGTTGCGACCGGAAGAAGCGGCAAAACGACTCGCGTACAGGAACTACTACAAGTTTCGGCGCTCAGGTGGTAGGTCTATAAGCTCCCTAAAAGGCACTAAGAGGCATGTACTGTATACATCTTTGTGAAAAAATATCAAGTAGATTTTTCCGACATTGGGCACTGTCGATGCCATTCTCGAATGCGGAATGATCATCGAGCAGCTGATGAACCAACATTCATGGCAATAAGCAATATTTGGAATATTTTTTAGATATGTTGTTAATTGACGTTGCTCTCCAAATAAAAATTGGGGTTTGTCTTTTTTATTGTCCAGCACACGACTGTTATTTAACCAGCCTTTTTTATTATTCGCCCCCCCCCCTAAGTTTACAAAAAATTATAAAAAACCTCTGAAAACTTGTATGAATATTTTTATTTTTCTTGGGCTTGAGTATACCGTTAATCTTTGTTGTTGACAATTAAAAATGATTATACATACGAATCCGAAACTACGATTTAGAAAATTTTCTGGATGCTTATTTTTACTTTTAAATTTGAACTAGCTATCACTTTATTTCAATTGATATCTTTTCCTAAAAAATGTAGCATCCGCGCACTGAATGCACATATACCCATAAATACCTGTGCAAATACAAAGTTATGCCTGTTGATTGTTTTCTCGATACACACTTTCACTTTCCGCCTGAAATGAATTACGTTTACGAACGTTTTCCCGAATTACGAGAGCAGGCAAAAATTGAATGAAAAATAAACCTAATCGAGTCGTTATGACAATGACTTTTTATCAATTGAGCGAGCTTACATACAAATGATGGATGAAAAAAATGATACGAATTCTATTCTATGGAGCAATTTATTTATTTTAATGCTCGTAGATCTCAATTTGCGCATTAAAAGCCAAGAGGGAAAATAAATGAAGTTAAAAATATGCTAGGATTAAGCGTTTTGTCGCATTTGATGAAGAGTCGCGCTATCGCGACTCTATATAGAGAGAATAATAAAGGTCATGGTCTCAAGTAGGATTATTCTTATGACTACACTTTGCTACTTTCCTTTTAAATTATGCATACATTTGACATAGTGCCTCAATTTCAGTATACAAATTTTCTATGGAAAAAGTTTTTTGTCACACCAACGACTTTTTAAGTCGCAGCTGGGATAAAAGTCTCTCTCTCTTCGTCATAGTTCTGGGAGACTCTAAATGAAATTTAATATAATAAAAAATTCATCGCCGAGCTTGCAATAGAAAGTATATAGATCGTTCAAAATTAGTTTCTTCTTAATCGAGTTAGCGAGCAACGAGTTGCAACGACAGAAAAGTCGACCACCGTACAAAAAAAAAAGAACGAAGGAAATTTCCATAGGGAAACAATCGCCGAGCGAGAGACAATGATGATGCGCAGTTGAATCGTTAATCCCAGCTTTCGAGCGAGTTTTGCGAAAACAACGTCGTTATCGTCGAACGTCAAAAATTCGCCTTGAGATCGCTGCGGCTTGGCTCCGAGGAAAAATAATAATAACAAGATCTCATTTTCCTCAACCCATTCGGTATAAAAGCCGCGCGTATCGCTCAGCTAGAGCATACAGCGGAACAAGCAACGGTTCAGCAGTCCCAAGTAAAAAAAAACCCCAATCAACTATCAACATGAGATTCATGTCGCTCTTCTACATCGCCCTGGTGGCCATGCTCGTCGTTCTCGGCCAGGTCAGCCAGTCCACGGCCCAGAGGCAGTGCCGTCACAACAACGACTGCCCGAGAGGCCAGCACTGCATCATCGGCCGCGGCAGACCCCATGGATTCTGCAGACGCAATTGATTGCGCAGCTGCGTATAGAGTCGCAGCGCTACACGCACTAATGGTAATTATTTTCATTTTTTTATTCTCGTTTTCTTAGATTATACCAGTTTTCGACGTCTTTATTTAAAAAAAAAATTCTCAAAGACTCCGTGGCGACCTTTATTTCATTGTTCTTCGGGTTACCACGGTACCTTTGAGAACGATAGTAAGAGGAAATTTCTGAATTTTTTTCACACATGGGTGTCGGGTATCTCTTCGTTAGAAAAAAGGCGAGATTTTAGTTAAAAAACTATTTTTTCATCTCAAGCTGAATACTTTTCACATTTAGCTCATATAATTTTTTTTGCGCATCTTTTTTCGTAATGAATGAAACATGTTAATAGCTAAACGAGCAAACGTGTGTTATTAAAAGTAAACTCAAAATTTAATTAATAAAAAAAAAATATAAACTTTTATTAGCGACATGGTGAGGAATTTTAACAAGTTTTAATTATTTTTTTTTACAGGTTGGAACTAAAAATGCCCAATTGACAGGCTGGAAATTTTCAAAATTCTTAATAATCATCATTTGATCGTTTAAAAGTCAATGTATTCGAGTGCGTAAAAATAAATCAAAATACGAGCAAAATAATTAATGACATAAGAGAACTTTCATTCCTTCCCTTACTTTCCTCGCGGCGCAAATATTATGAAATGATAATTGTCGTTGAGCAAACATCGACTCGATAATTCGAGTTCAAAACGACCTTATACAAGTTCGTAATGCGCGTCTTCTGGGAAATAAAAACACATTTGCCAAATATCGAGTGGTAAGATCTGGCACTTGATAATTCAAATTCACGGAATCGATCGGTATTACATACATCGCTTGATTTTCCGCCTCGGTCTTTTCATAATCTCGCCGCGCTGTGCACCGTCGCGGGCGAAAATCATTTTACACGCGATCGAGTTTGTGCATTGTAATGCCAGGCCGTGTATATATTATATATGTGTACCGGAGGCTCTGCGTATACATATCGCGCAGCCAACGTCTGAATATACAAACAGTTTTCAATCAAGAGGTGTGTTTATATACCGTATGCATGTAATTGAAAGGTATATACACGTAGCCGCCACCGCCGCCGCCGCCGGTGTGTGTGTATGCTTTTGTGTAAATAGATGTGCGCGATGTACACAATTTACGCGATACATATATACATACGCAAGGAAAACGAGAGCAAAATTTAATGCCTCCCGATAAATGTTGGGCTGCGCGTGTAATAAACGCGATGCGCGTATGCGTTCAACGAACTCAACCAAAGTCAATAAAAAATCCTAGCGACGCGTTTTTAGTTGGGACACGATCTTTCGGAAATTCAATTTTTTTTGTTGTTGCTTCCACGCGTTGGCGTAAGCGGAACAAAAAAAATGTTAAATAATTTTCTCGTCTCGCGCGAGATATATATATATAGACGCGCGGTTCATTTTTCTCGCTCAATAACAGAGAGAGAGAGAGAGAGAGAGAGAGAGAGAGAGTGCGAGCGAGAGAGATTTATTAACCACTCGAACGCCGCGTTGCATTCATGGGCTTGTATTGTTTCGCGAAAGTATAGGATTCGAGTGACATCAATTCGCTGGAATTCGAGTTCGCTTCTTCTTTTTTTTTTTTTTTACAGCGGCTGTGCGGAGCGATGGAAAATATGTGTATAATACCAGCACTAGTGTGCTGCTAGTGTGCGGCTATGCGGCGCTCGGTATGCGCCTCTCGATGGCAGTTAACTTATAAGAAGTGACATTTTTGTTGAAAATGCACAATTTCTTTTATGCCCAGCAGCGGGTCTTGCGCAAAATTCTTCTCTCTATACTCGTGGATTAAGACTTTTATTTTCGTTAGAGAAGAAGTCGCGTAAAAAAATAAATAATAAAGATGAAAAATAACGTAATTTTATTTTTCTCTTGCGAATTTTTTCATTTATTTTTTTTTTTTTTTTGAATTCGTATAGAGGAAGAAAAAATTAGATGAAGCTCTTATGAATATTTCATCTTCTCTGCATGAAAAAGAAGCTCGACATCTTAACTTTTAAGCGTTTACAATTTGGTTAGCACTAGTCCTCTACGAGCGAAGAAAAAAATATCACTCAGCCGTGGTGTATACGGATATATTTATGCGTAACAACGAACGCGATCGGAAGCTTTCATCCATCCTCTTTAATGAAGCATAACAAAACGAAGCAGATTAGTTTGCGTCGCTTTTCGTTCGTGCCAAGGGCAATTATCTATACGTTGTTGCTTTTTCGCTATTATATACTTATTTCGTCGATTCGTATACCGAATTATACGACTGCTACACGGCTATTGTAGCGAGTTATCGTCGCGAGCTGTTATACACTGAAATATCAATATTGACCGATGATGCGAGTAGTAACGGGTCGACGCTCGTGTTTTGCTTTTTTTTCTTTTCTTTCTTTTTTTTTTTAATCAAGATAATACACAGCGTAGAGAGACCAGTGCAGTGCAGCTC